GAGAGAGAGAGAGAGAGAGAGAGAGAGAGAGAGAGAGAGTGTTAAGGCCTTTCTACTAGAAAACCTCTAACAAAAACAAATCTTTGTAACTGTGGAGAAACCTCAATAGGTAAAGGATAAGGACCTGAATTGAATTCAGATCCCCAGAACTCACATAAAAAAGTGAGATGCGATAGCTAACGCCTAATCCCAGCACTGGGAAGTAGAGACAGAGGACCCCTGGAGCTCACTGGCCAGCCAATCTACCTGAATCAGTGAGTTCCAGATGCAGTGAGAGAGCCTGTCTGAGGAACATAAGGTATAGAACAAGAGAGCAATTGAGGAAGACACCTGACATCTTCTGCCCCCCCCCACACTCCTCAATACAAAATATAAATCAAAGACTTCTTGCTGAAGATGCACATGATAGGAAGCTATCTCTCCCTCCACCCTCTCCAGTCATGCCATTTGCAGACAGCTCCAAGGATGGTGAATTTTGCCTAGGGCCCAGCTCTGCCCCTTCCTCCACTCTTGGTTTTGAAAATCCCAATTTTCACCAGTCCAGAGACTGTGAGTCCCAGAGCCCCAGTCCTGTGGAGGAAGAGAGCAGCAGCCTGTCACCTCTCTCTCTTTAGGGTATGAAGCAAAAGTGTCTCTACAACCTGCTGCCCTACAGGAGGAACCTGAACGGCTGCCAACAGCAGTGTACCCTGGTGATCCAGCTCCCCAGGTGCTGCAAGGGCTACTTCCTGCCAGACTGTCAGGGTGAGGGTGCCCCTCCTCCTCCCCATTCTGAAGGGATTGTGGGCTGGCTGCACAGCTTTTGAAAGTACACACGATCTAAAGAGGTGGGGAAACTGTCTTCATAATTCCAAGGCCCCGGTCCGGCACTCAGAACAGCTGTGTATCATCTCTCCTGCTGCCTTCTTCATTTGACATATTTTTTGTTTCACTTAGTTGAGATCCTATCGTGCATCTGCTTTCTTGTTTAAAATTGGAACACAGCCCAGCCTGGTAGCACAGGCCTGTAACCCCAGCTGTTTTGGAGGCTGAAGCAGGAGGATCACAAGTTCAATGCCTGCCTGAACTGTAGAGTGAGTTCCAGGACAGCCTGGGCAACTTAGACCCTGCCTCAAAATAAAAAGTAAAAAGAAGGTTGGGGATATACTTGCATGGTAGAGCCCTGCACCAGCATGTATGAGGCCCAGGTTTAATCTCCAGTGCTGCAAAATGATGATGATGATGATGACGGTGATGATGAGATCACAAGTTCAATGCCTGCCTGAACTGTAGAGTGAGTTCCAGGACAGCCTGGGCAACTTAGACCCTGCCTCAAAATAAAAAGTAAAAAGAAGGTTGGGGATATACTTGCATGGTAGAGCCCTGCGCCAGCATGTATGAGGCCCAGGTTTAATCTCCAGTGCTGCAAAATGATGATGATGATGATGATGATGATGATGATGATGATGATGATGGTGATGATGGTGATGGTGATGATAAAATTAGAACACAGACATTTCCCATGGAGTTTTAAAACACTGTATATTTAATTTTTTATTTTATGCAGCTCCATAATACACACATACAGCATGTCTGTATAAGTGCTTTGACATGATTCCACCTTTGAGCAGGGATGCCCTGATAGGATATTATGGACCCTGATTTCCTTTAAGGCCCCAGTTGCATGGTATAGAGCATCGTTCTCCTTCCTTTGGCTCCTTGTCAAAGGGAGTTTGAGCCCATTCTGAAAGCCTGACACGACTTCAGGACTGAAACATCAGCAGCAATGATTGAACAAAGGCACATCGTGTCTGCCACACCTTGTTCTAGGTGGGGGCACTGTTGAGTGCTCGCAGGGATCAGTATGTAGTCTTGACAGCAACCCCTTTGAAGTAGTTCCTACTCTGTCCCCTTTATAGATAAGAAATAGAAGCTCAGAGAGGCTAGGAAGCAAGCCCAAAGCTCAACAGACTCCAGCATCCACAACCCTCACTGCCAGGTGCACTCCACTCATCATAGTCCACGGGAACATGCTGGGCTAAATCCACAGTCACCCAGCTGCCAGCCTCCATCACTAAAGCTAATACAAAATTGTTAGCAACCTTTAAATTTGTTCATCCCTGCAGAACTTCCAGCTATTCTCAGTGGTCTGGAGATGTGTCTTAGTTGGTAGAGTACTTCCCTAAAATGCACCAGGTCCTGGTTTAAATCCTCAGCACCTCATAAAACAGGTGTGAGGGTATATACTTGTAATCCCAGCACTCTAGAAGCAGGAGGATCAAGGTCAACCGTGGCTACATAGTGAGAACAAAGGCAGCTTGGAATACAGAAGACTTAGTCAAATAAATAAATAAATAAATAAATAAATATTCTCATTTATAATAGGGCATGTGATCTTAGCAGTAGTGATGTGGTATAGGTCAAGCAGGCTCCGTATCATTATTGTTACTGTTGTCACCACCATCATTTGGAACTAAGAAAACCAAAGCCCGGAGCAGATTGATTATTCAGCCTAAGCCTACTTCAACTCAGTTTGAAATAGGTCTCCTAACTCCCAGTTTTAGCACACAGCTCAGTCCATGGCCCTGCCAAGATAGACTTGGATCAAACATGTGATCCTTATGTCCCATAAGCCAGTGACTTGCCCTAAATATCCATTGACATCCAAGGCCACCTAACATATCAGAATTACTAGCTTGTTAACAGTGGTACTGAGCAGCCCTGCTCTGGGAGACTGTATCGTCACTGCTATTTCATCTCTTCCAGCCTGCCCCGGAGGACCAGACACCCCATGCAGTAACCGGGGTGTCTGCCATGATCAATACTCAATCACAGGACAGTGCCAATGCAACACCGGCTTCAATGGGACAGCCTGTGAGATGTGCTGGCCAGGGAGATTCGGACCTGACTGTCAGCGTATGTGACCACCTGCCCGTGTTAGCCTGTTGGCAGCTGTGTGCTCCCTGTCCTCATCCGTGCCACCCACCTGACCTGGGAGTAGCCACTTCCTTTCTCCCATCTCTGTTCTATATGCCTTTTTCTTCCATGGATGTAGTCTCAGTTTTCCTCCCCTGAAAGAGCCTCACCTCTACAACTGAAACTCACAGCCCCTGCGGCCACCAAGGGAAGCTGTGGCTAAGCCACATTCACTCGCTGAGTTATTCAGTCTATGAGTGGTGACATTTATTGAGTGCCCATTATGTGCCAGGCATATATAGTTTTTCCATTTAATCTTTATCATAACGTTTGAGGTAAGAGTTTCATACAGAAACCAAGGCAGGAAGAGATTAAGTATGTGCTAACCTGCTAGGAATTGCCCTAAGGATCAGAGATACAGTGGTTAGAGGGTGTAGGGACAAAATTGAGCCCTCCGGGAGCTTAGAGAAACAAATGTAGTTATAAAAGCCATACAGGGCAAACAAGCAGATAAAGGGATCAGGAATAAAGGGAGGTGCCGTTTTCGACGTCTCACACAGAATACTGAGTAGAAACCTGTCTGTGATCATAGGTCTGTCAGGAGCCAGTAAATGGAACTCACAGCAATACTGGACGTGTTCTGTGACTCCTCTAGCCACACTGGGTCACTGAGTACTCAAAATGTTTGGGCCAGAATTGATGTTTCTTATTTTAACTAGTTAACATTTAAATAGCCTGTGTCCCTAGAGGCCACTGTTCTGCATGAATAAATCAAGGGGCTGGCTTTCCTGAAGGAGAGATTGGCCAAGTGCAAAGACCCTGAAGTAGGAGTGGGTTTTAGCCAGAAGAGGTGAAGAGGAAGTGAAAACAGGTCCCAGGGACCCAGAGCACATCCAAACTTATAGGCCAGCGCAGTTCACTAGCATCTATTCTAAGTGTGACGGGTTGTGAGCAGAAAAGTGCTGTGAACAGATTAGAAGGAATCACTCTAGCTATCCTGCAGAGGAGGACACCGTGGACGGGGAGTGTGGGGGCAGCAGCGCCACCACTAGGGAGGCTGAAGCAGCCATTGAGGCTGGGGCTGCTGGTGGTAACTTGGTCTGGCACAGCCAGGTCAGAGCTAGTCAGGTTTTAAATTTTAGTTTGAAGTAGATTTCCCTATCTGAAGGCTCCCAATTAGGTTGTCACCCTGTCTGTTCTGAGACCTGCCCCGTGACACTCTACTTCCATGTCCACAGCATTTGTAGTATTTATTATCACACATTTAAAACCTGCTTAGGCCTTGACCTTGAGCCCTGTGGAAACAGGGGCCTTCTCTATTAAGGTTTTCCTGGGCCCCCATTGTATAGTAGTGTCTAGCCCATGGTAAGTTATTTTTTGAATGTTTGGGGAGATGAAAGATTGTGGTAGAAGCCTGATGGCCTCCATGCTGACAATACCAACAGCAGGCGGTCAGTGAGTGGCTGATGATCACTCCCTGGTCACTGATCACTGGGCACTTTTTCTGTTACAGCCTGTGGCTGCTCAGAGCATGGCCATTGTGACGAGGGAATCACAGGCTCTGGGCAATGCCTCTGTGAGACAGGGTGGACAGGCCGCTTCTGCAACACTCAAACAGGTTTGTTGGTGGGATAGCCAGCCACTGGCAGCGTGTGTCTACTGGGGACCAATCAAAGTAGTTCAAATGGGGCTTGGATCTGAATGACATCTGAGGAAAATGACAATGTTCCCCTTGGAAGCAATGATTTGAATCATGGCCTCAGGCCTCAGGAGGTTGGTTGATCAGAAGAAAATTCAGTGAAAAGATTTCACCCAAACCCATGAAACCAGAATGTTTTCTGGAATCATAGGACTGTACAAGGAGGGCCTCTCATTATAGCAGCTCTTGGGCCCAGCTGCATGACAGAAACCAAAAGGATATAGGGAAATCTCAGTGTTTAGAGTCCCAAGACCAGGACGTGGCCCCTGACCTGCTACTTGTACTGGACAAATGGCCTTAGATAGCCCACCCTCTCTGACCCTCACCTTATTCATCTGTAAAATGATCTATACATGGCACACTTTGCAAGGGACGATTGTTGTGATGGCTTTGAAGTGCCTGACATTTGTGTTTGTTGTATCAAATGCAACCGCTCCCATTGTCACCATTGTAATCTTGAGTCGTATTCGAAGTCCAGTCTCTATGTTCTAACAGGCCTTATATGTTAAGGTCAAGCTATTGTGTGAATCAGTGACATTTCCTCCTTCCTCAGATCAGAAGGCCAGCACTAGACTCTTCCATGGGCTTCAGCAGCCTGAAGTTTCAACAGTTCCAACAGTATAGTTGGCCAGTTCCAACCCTTCTGCCCCCGCTAAGTACCCCTCAGCTTTAGGCTGCATTTGTACAGCACAGCCCCATCTGATCACCAAGGTGCCAGTCTTCTACCCAGCTCAGTGGAACCCTTAGAAGGCCGTGAAATTTTTCTTCTGATTTAACCTTCTCCACCTGGTACCCCAGGTTCTTGAGGGCAGAGTCTACCTGCCACATTAATCCCTAATAGCAAGTTTGGAGGGGGAAAGTTTTAGATGGTTGCCCCTAAGGTAACACATGTGTAGTATGATCAGAAGTACTTTGAAGCTATATCTCAGAATCTCCAAGCTGAGACAGTCCTTAGGAAATATCCCTCCCATCTTCCTGCCATGGGAAGACTTATGAAACACCTAATAAGAGTCCTGGGAAAACTGCAGAGGTGAGGCCAACTCCACACACCTGGATGCAGGATGAAGGGTGGCCTCTTTCTTTACAGTTGTGTTTCCAGTGTGCATACCTCCATGTTCCATGCATGCCACCTGTCTGGAGAACAACACATGTGCATGTAACCTGAATTACGAAGGTGATGGAATCACGTGCACAGGTGAGTCCTCTTTGCACAGTTGTGAAATAGCATCATGGCACAGGAGAGGAGCAGGATGTGGTCACAGTGACTGGGCTCCATCCTGGCTCTTCCACTTCCTGCCTGGGCCTCTTCAACAATGTCCAACCCCTCTAGGACAGTTTCCTCAGGGGGTTGTTCACAGTTGCTATGGGCGTGCGGGTTTCACGGAGCACCTGCTGCTGGGCTGCGCCGGTCTCCCACACGTCACTGGAGTGCGATGGGTCCCGCGGGTCGCGTCTGCTGTTCGGGTCCCTGGCTCTCCGCCACTGGGGTGCACGGGTTTCGCGCACCGCGTTGCTGTGGGTCTCTGCTACCGGGGCTGGAGACTCTGGAGAGCCGCTGTCAGCTGCCCGGGCGGGCTCCGTCCCAATTTCCACCGAGCACTCCCTCGAGATACGAGATCCACCAGCCGCCAGATCTCGTGGGAAGTGCGGAGATGGCGAAAGCAGGGTCTCCGTGAGTCGTGGTTTACGAAGAGACAGCTCTCTCCGGGAAGACTGGATCATAGGCAGTAAGACACAGAACTCAGCTCAGTACAGCTCCTTTATTCAGTGACTCAGCTCAGCTCCAGGTCTTAGTGATTCAGCTCCGATTAATTAGGGGAAACCAGGATATTTATACTGTGGGGGCGGTGGCAAGAGCCTTAGTTGGTAGGTGCTTTTAGGATGCCTCATTTACATGTGGTGGTGGGCCCCTGCCAGGCTGCCAGACATTGTCTGATTATCACACAGGAAAACTTGGCAGTTCCTATGCCAGAGGCCATGTTTTTGGTAGGGCATCTGTGGCGGCCACTTCAAAAGGTGAGTCAGGAAGAGAGGTAGGAGGCCCCATGCTGAAAAGAGGAGTCTTTCCATCAGGCGCTGAGCTCCTTAGAGCTATCCGGACGTGGAAGACTGCAACCCTCACAGCAGGATTCCCCAACAAGTTGCTCTGCTTACCTCCCAAGCCATGGTTTTTAAACTTGCTTTGCAAAACAGGATGCCCTGTATAATTTTTTTTTAACTCAACTAGTAATCAGTCTTACTTCAAAAAAAACCAGAAGGTACCCTATAGTGTTAAGGAAAAGAAGTTAAATATACATATCCTCTGGCCCTCAGAGAGAAACATTATGAGCACTGCACTGTCTGTCAGGAATGAACCCAAGTGCCAGGTGAGCACTTGACCACTGAGTCACACACAGCCCCAGTGGTTTAGATGTGTGCTTGGCCACACAGAGGTTCAAGTGAAACGTTCATAAACCAAGTAGGTAAATGATTGTTCTGTCTTTTTAAAAATATTTTATTATTTTTATTTTATGTGTGTGCATGTATTGTCTGCATGTAGGTAAGTGTACCCATGTCGTTCTGTCTTTTATAATAGTTTGAAGGGCGGACTTCAGAGCTGACACTGAGTTTTACCTGAACAGTTGTCTGTGCCAGTGTTTCTGTTTTTCAGCTTTGCCACTGTAAGAGTCCAGGTCTGCAGCAACCCTCCCCCAGTACAGTCAAACACTGGATCACAATCCATCACTGAAGGAAGTCAGGGCAGGAACTCAAGCGGGGACTGAAGCAGAGACCAAAGAGGGATGCTGTTTACTGGCTCACTCACCAGCTTATACTTAGCTAACTTTCTTCTACAGCCCAGGCCCACTGCCTATGGTGTTGTTCACAGTGGCCTGAGCCTTCCCACATCAATCATCAGTCATCAATCAGGATAATCTCTCATAGGCCAATATGATCTGGGCAGTCCGTCAACAGAGACTCCCTCAGATGAGTCTAGACTGTGTCCAGTTGACAGCTACACACACACACACACACACACACACACACACACACACACACACACATGGTCCTAACATCAGAAAACCCAAACTCATTCTAAAAATGATTACCAAAGTGATCCTATAGCGATATGACAAGGGGTCACTGAGTTTGTCAGAATGTCACAAGGATATTGATGGTACCACAATACCACAATGATCAGGAGGACCACAAACATGGGGATCATGGGTACAGGCCCATTTGCCCTGTACCATGCTTGGCATAGGGCTAACCCATAGCCCCAGACAGTGGCACATAGAGCCCTCTCCTCTTGCTCTTGCAGTCGTGGATTTCTGCAAACAAAACAATGGGGGCTGTGCAAAGGTTGCCAAGTGCTCCCAGAAGGACACACAAGTCTCCTGCAGCTGCCCAAAGGGTTACCAGGGAGATGGCCACAGCTGTACAGAGATAGACCCCTGTACAGATGGCCTCAATGGTGGATGTCATGAGCATGCCACCTGCAGGATGACCGGCCCGGTGAGTCTTACTTCCCTGGGGACATTTGGGAGAGTAGTCCCTGTGGAGGCGTGATAACAAAATAACACTAGATAAAGGTGAAGCCAGCTGGCCAGCTTGACACGCAACAAAAAAAATAATAATAATACTAATTAAAGCTTAGCCGGTAAAGGACGCGTGACCACCTCGTGAACACTATTTATACTATAAAAAGGACCTACGTACTAATACACGACCTCTGAGCTGATTGGATGGCGGCCTCCCTGCCTATGCTATGCTTATGGTTGTTGCCTTTAAGTATTGTTCAGCCTTAATAACAAACGAGTTCCAGCTTAAAGCTACTCCCTGTCACGTCTGATTGTCCTCGGAGAGAAGGGCTGGCGAAACGGGCGGACAGCGCACTTACCCCTCCTCGACCCCCATCGCCGCAGCCTCTTGTTCCTCTCCCCAAGACAAAGAGGTTCGGAGACGGTGACAAGTCCCTTGTGCGTAGTGCAGCCTGTCTTCCTCACCTGCCTGGCCTCTTCTACACTTTCTTCCTCCCTTAGTCTGTTTCTTTGAAGATCAGTGGGCTAAATGCAATCTGCTGCTCTCGGCAGAAAAAGGACATTAGAACAAAATCTGTTAAAACCTACAGAAGATCTATTGTATAGTTAGTTAATAGAAATGTATTAACATCATTTCTTAGCTTGACAAATGTCCTATAACTAGGTACCATGTTCACATTACCGGACACTGGTAGGTTATACAGGGGGACTCTCTCTACTATCTTTGCAATTTTCCTCTAAGTCCAGCATCACTCAAAAACAAAAAGTTGAACCTTTTTGAATCAAATCAGAACCTTCTGGAATCTGCAAGCAGGGCAGATGGTGGGAGACAGTGCCCTTTACTAGTTACAAATAGAGACCTAGAGTCAGGCAGCTTTTGAGACTTAGCTGTGGCCATGTGACCAGAGCCTGGCTGCTTAATATCTCTTCACTTCTTGTGAAGTGGGCCTAATAATAACACAAATATCATAGGGTTTTGGAGATAAATGAGGTCATTCTCTGAGTCACCCAGTGGTCAAAAAGTACCTACTATGGGCTGTTTGCAGGTTCTAGGATACTGCAAAGAAAACACAGACTGGGTCCCTGCATTCTAGGAGCTTAGGCATAAGTAGAGGAAAGGAGGCACTTGAGAAAAAACATACACACATAACCCTGGCCAACAGCAGAGTTCAGGCCAGTGTGTTGGAAGGGGCATGGAGAGCTGCTTTCTGCAGGGTGCTGTGGGAGTGAGGCTTTCCAAGAAAGCGACATTGACACTGAAAAGAATGGCAGCGTTTCATCATGAGCCTGCACGAGAGCAAGACAACCTTTGTTCTGTTCTCTTCCCTTTGGACAGGAGGCACGTTATTTTTGTCCCTCTGAACCACCCCCATGCTGAATGGATGTCCCCTGGATACTTAAGATCCTGAGTTCCTGGAGAAGGGGCTTTTTCACCTTTTCCTGCCTTCCTCCCACAGGGCAGGCACAAGTGTAAATGTAAGACTCACTACGTGGGAGATGGCCTGGACTGCGAACCTGAACAGCTGCCCCTTGACCGCTGTTTACAGGACAATGGACAGTGCCATGCAGATGCTGACTGTGCGGACCTCCACTTCCAGGGTCAGTACAGGGGCCCTGGCCCAAAGCATCTTTCTCTTCAGGGTTGGGTGAAGGAGGTGTACAAGGGGGAACAGAAAAGTAAAACAGAAACCAAAGAATCCACACATTGTCTAGACCCAGAGAGGCAAGGAGAATCAACTCACAGTTAGATCTTGAAGGGTAAAACAGGGGAGCTTAATAGTTGACTAGCAAGGACTTTCCCAGTGCTGGATTTTCCCATGTTGCTCAGCAACCCTTAAAGCCAATGGCTGGAATTGAATCCAAGAAGCATATCCTAGGATGGTCAGTAACAAAGAAGTTGCTGCCACTTGCAGAAGCAATTTCTTAACAGCTGTTTGCTCTTAACACCACAGTGACTGGCATCTACCCCATGTATTTCCAAGGCTGATTGGAATGGTGTATAATAAATTCACAGGTACAATAAACTAACACAAGAAAGCAAAACACTACATTGGGAGTTCAGAGGCCCACAGGTGGGACACGGTGAGACCCAATGGGGAAAGCCACAAAGGACTCACATAGTTCAGAGCCAGAGCAGCAAGGGACTTCAGCGGTTCCAAATGTGATCCAAGTCACTACTCACTGTGACCGACCAGCATTGACTGGAGACCTCTGAGCGTTTGCCTGTTTTACCCATGTGCTCATCCTAATGAGATATATTTTAAAGATTTTATTTTAAAATTTTATTATTTTTATTTTATGTGAATGAGTATATTGCCTGCCTGTATGTAAGTGCACCTGTGTTGTACAAAGCCCATGGAGGTCAGAAGAAGGCATGAGATCCCTGGGAGCTGGACTTATGGTTGCTAGCTGCCATGTGGGTGCTGGGAATGAAACCTGGGTTCTCTGCAGGAATAACCAGTGCTCTTAACCACTGAGCCATCTCTCCAGCCCTTTTTACGTTTTTTCTTTTTTTTTTTTGGTCTTTTTGAGACAGGGTCTCCCTGTAGCCCCAGCTATCCTGGAACTCACTATGTAGACCAAGATGGCTTTGAACGCCCAGAGATCCACCTGCCTCTGCCTCCCGAGTGCTGGGATTAAAGGTGTGTGCCACCACTTTAAAAAAAATTATGTGTATATGTTTAAGGAGGAGGTACATGTGTGAGTCCAGGTGCCTGTGGGGTCCAGAAGAGGGCATTGGATCCCCTAAGTTGGAGTTATAGGTGGTAATGTGGGTTTCTGGAAGCTAAACTCAAGTCTTCTGTAGGAGCAGTATGAGCTCTTAACCACTGAGCTGTCTATCCAGCCAAGAGGCTTTTTTTTTTTCACATATCTCAACAGCAGGTTTTGTTTTAACACCTATCATATACCAAACCTGGAGTCACACCTCAAATCCCTTCCAGGATGAGACAGTGGTGGTGCCAGGCTGAGTAGATGGGGAAGGAAAGTGGCGAACGCTTTGAGAGCTTGTCACTGTCAGAGGCCATCCCTGTCAAGGTCGTGGCAGGATCTCCAAGCAGCGAGAGACAGGCCATTGCTGTTAGGATGGGAGGAACAGCTGGGACCAGTTCATCTGGGAGGAACAGCTGGGACCAGTTGATCTGGGAGTCATGTGTCCTGGGCAGTGTGAAGTCAGGAAGAGGCCCATTTTTTCTTTAGGACACAGTACATTCATCTGTCCTGCCTGCCCTCATGGCTCACACACAGGTTGAATCTGTGCAGCCTCAGACCATCATCCAGCTCCTCCAGGGGCTTTGCTCTTCTACAGAAAACTGAGTGGGCATCACATTGCACCCAATGGTTGCTGCTACTGAGCAGCCAGCCTTATCAAAGCAGAATGCTAGGAACAGTGGCCCACATCCATGAGGAATTGCTAGCACACCAAGCTCAGAGGAGGGCACGCCCACAGTCTGCAGAGCAACCAGTTTGGCAGTATATGCATCACAGAACCCTAAATTAATCGTATGAGACTCAGTGCCTGTTTCTGGTAACCTATCCTAGGGAAAGAATTCAAAACTGGAACGAAGGAAAACATTCATCCCAACATTAGTTAATGTCACAAAATTAAAATAACATATGTATATGTACACATTATATGCATATATAATATGAATGGATTATCAGTACACTAGTACACTCCATAAAAGTTTGCCATTATGAAGGGCATCATGGTACACACCTTTAATCCCAGCACTTGGGAGGCAGAGGCAGTCCAATCTCTGAATTCCAGGCCAGACTGGTCTACATAGTGACTTCCAGAGTAGCTGGGGCTATAGAGAAACCCTGTTTTAAAAAACAAAACAAAAATTTCATTGCTAAGAAGTGTGCAGCTGCTGGGTGTGATGGCACATGCCTTTAATCCTAGCACTTGGGAGGCAGAGGCAGGTGGGCATATCTCTGTGAGTTCAAGGCCAGCCTGATCTACATAATAAGTTCCAGGCCAGTTCGGGCTAAAAGAGTGTGCAATCTTGGCAAGGGGATACAGAAATCACTTTTCCTTACTTCTCCAAGCTGTATGATCAGCAAGATCACATGACATGATTATACTACTGGGCTGTGGTCAAACAAGAAAACCTACATTTTTTGGTGTAGTTACTTTGTAGCATTTTATAATGAACTTGATAATACAAAAATGTGACTTGGTTCTTAAACTATTTCTGGTCTCTATATTCTATCATTTGGAAAGGAAAGATGCCAGCTGTGAACAAATGACAAAAATCCTCCAGGATCTTAGGGAGAATTTATGTTTTTTTTAAAAAAAAACTCTTTTTTATAACTATCTTTTTAAAATATTTTATTATTTTTATTTTATGTATTTGATTGTATTGCCTGCATGTATGTAAGTGTACCCATGTCATGCAGTGCCTGTGGAGGCCAAAAGAGAGCACCAGATCCCCTGGAACTAGAGCTACAGATGGTTGTCAGCCTCTGTGTGGATACTGGGAATCGAACCCAGGTCCTCTGCAAAAGCAGCCAATGCTGAGGCATCTCTTCAGCCCCTAAAACTCTTTTTAAATGGTATAATAGTGACCAGAATATTTAGAGTCCTTGGTAGAAAGTCATTTCATAGTTTTGAATGTCACAAAAATTATTTAATTATAAGTATTGGAGGAAAAATATCACCAGAGAAAAATTTATAATGTAAGCAAGTCATCATGATTTAATGTTGAACTTATAAAATATTTCTAAAAGCTGTATCTGCAGTGTGCCACCACATTTGTAATATGTAATATATAAAGGAATAGGATAGGAAAAAAGACTAGAAGAATGTCAAAATTATACCAAATTAAAAGATATAAAAAAATGAAAATTCTAGAAAGATGTTCATCACACTAAATATTAGCCAATAACAAGTACTGATTTCTGTTGAGTAGAATTGTAGGTGAGTTTTATTTCTGTTCTCTTTTCTGTATCGCCAAAATGTTTTACAATGAGCATATGCTTTTAATCTTACTTTTAATGAATACTTAATACCTGTACATATTTGGGGAGTATAGAGAGACTTTTACACGGACCCCGGGACCTTGTGCAAGCCAGGCAAACACTCCACCACTGAGCTACATACATCCTCAACCTTTTTATTTTTCCATTTTGATGAAGGGTCTTGCTAAGTTGTACAAACTGGTCTTGAACTCACTCTATAGCCTTGACTGACCTTGAATATGCAGTCCTCCTGCCTCAGCCTCTCAAGCTGAGATGACAAGCCTGTGCCTCAAGCCTGGCTAATATGATGTTTTGACACGTTTACACTGTGCAATGATTAAGTCAGGGTATTAAGCACCTCCATCACCTCATACAGTCATCATTTCTTTGTTGTGAAAACATCCAAAATCCTTGTTCCAAGTATCGTGGCCATAGCCATCCTGCAGTGCAAAAGAATACCAGCATTTGATCCTCATCTGTTAGCTGGAACTTGAACCCACTGACCAATCTCACTCTATCCCTTCTCTAGCCCATCTAGCCTCTGGAGACCACGGTTCTGCTCTACTTTTATGAGATCAGCGTCTTTAGGTTCCGTGTGTACGTGAGGCCACACAGTTGTTTTTCTATGCCTGGCATATTTCCCTTATCATAACATCGTCTGGGGTCATCCACAGCTGCAAATGACAGGATTCCGTTGTTCTTATGGCCGAATAGTGTTCCACTGCGCATAGCCCATTTTCTTTATCCATTCATCTGTTCATGGACACTTAGGTTGATTTGGTTCTTGGGTATTGTGAATAGCACTACAGTAAATATGGGTGTGCACTTAACTCTTTGGGTGTATAATAGGATGGCTGGATCATATGTTAGTTCCATCGGGGTTTTTTAAGCTTTTATTATTTTTTTTTTATTTTATGTGTATGAGTGTTATGCCTGCATGTAGGTAAGTGCACCCATGTCGTGTAGCCCACGGAGTACAGAAGAGGCTGTTGGATCCCCTGGAACTGGAGTTATAGACAGTTGTTAGCTGCCATGTGGGTGCTGGGAATCGAACCCGGGTCTTCTGCAAGAACAGTGATCTAAACCGCTGAGCCATCTCTCCAGCCCCTTAGTTCCATCTTTTTTTAAAGGAAGCCTCATATATTTTTTACCTACCATAATAGCTATACTAATTTACAATCTATCAATAGTGTATAAAAATTTCCCTTTCTCCACATCTATTTGTGATTTTTTTTGTCTTTTGATTTCTTTTTGTCTTTTTTGTCTTTCTAAATGAAGGCAATAGCTGATCAAACATAAATTATTTTCATAATTAAAAAGTATTTCAAGTGATGTGCATCAACATAACATTAAGGGGAAGTGGCTTCTGAAGGCACCCTGGAGTATAGGTGACCTCTACTTTGAAAGTTCCTCCAAGTCCTTTACTAGAAGCACTGACAGCCAGGTGAGCTGACTGAATGATTCCTCTCCTTCCTCTTCTAGATACCACTGTTGGGGTGTTCCATCTCCGCTCCCCACTGGGCCAGTACAAGCTGACCTTTGACAAAGCCAGAGAGGCCTGTGCCAAGGAAGCTGCATCCATGGCTACCTACAACCAGCTTTCCTATGCCCAGAAGGTGAGTCCCCAATGAGCAGACACTGCAGGCAGAGTTGATGTGAAGGGTATGCAGGCTACCTCCTCTTAAGCTGAAGAAAACCCAGGTGGCGACCTTCATGGAGAGTATAGCAGAGTCCTGAAGCAATGGTAAGAGTTCACCATGTCCAGTGTCAAGTGTCTATTGTGTGTTCAGCCCAGTGTCGGGTGCTGCACTGACATTGTGCTGGATAGCTTTAGTGTCAACCTGACACACCTGGATTGAGGGAGCCTCAATTGGGGAATTGCCTCCATTGGACTGGCCTGTGGCCATGTCTGTGGGGTATTTTCTTGATTATTGAATGATGTGGGAGGGCCCAGCCCACTGTGGGTGGTGCCACCCCTGGACAGGTGGACCTGTGTTGCATAAGAAAGCAGGCTGAACAGGGGCCAGGGGAGCAAGCCAGTAAGCAGCATTCCTCCATGGCCTGTGCTC